GCCAATTTAAATTTTAAAATTTTTTGGCGGGCCGCACATAAAGTAACACTTATTAATAATTTACAAAACTTTATTTACATTAGATTAAAAAATTTTAAAATTAAAAAAAAAGTAAATATTAAATATACAAATTTTAATTCAAAGTCGATAAAATAAATTCAATTTTAGGCATGCTTGGCGGGCTGCATAAACATATTTAACGGGCCGCGTGTTGCTAATCTCTGATCTAAAGCTTATTGTAGTTTCTAGCAACGTCCCTTTTGTTTTGATAAAAAAAAACCAGTAGAGTTGGCTCGTCGATCGTATTTGGTTTTCATGCTATTAATTTTGAATAGCAGCTTCTTACGTACAGCATTATAGATGACTTCTAGTCGTTCTTGTAGTTTGCTTCTAGGGTGACTAAACATTATGTCTGCTGAGAATCTGAGTTCTTTTTTAAATAAAATGCCTCCAGTTGTCTCATGACTGGCAAATGGCGATTAAATGGAATAGGGGGTGCTTTCAATTAACCCCGAAAACCGAGTTTTATATTCACACTAAGGTCCCAACGCATTACAAAATCGTGTCCTACTCAGAATGAAGAATCAAACGTAACATTTCAATAGTGCTCTGTTATTCCCTAGAATTAGAGTCGCAGAGGCGTTACATACATTCATTAAACACAGTCACTACACCCGAACTCGGCGTTACATCCGAAGTCGCTATAGCCACATAAATTTTATACCAGAATTCCTTAAATTCGAGGGATTTAGATTGAACGTCGTTATAGTAGAATGGTCGCTAGAATGAATGAAATCCACTGTATATTTATTATTAATACAAATGGGAAACGTCATTCACTCCAGTGTAAAAGAGGAAAAGTTTCCTACAATTATAATTCAATTGTGTGTTTATTGTTCGTAGTGTAAATATGTATGTATTGCCAAATTATGCTTTTAATAAAGTAAGAAGTACTTATAAACTAGATGCAAATAAATGGAAATACGTTAGTCAAATCTGAATTAAATAATTTTCTATCCTCATGATAAATGATGAATCAAAATACAAACACATACATGCCTTTTCGGATGTTTTTATTAAAAAAAAAAGAATGATATTGATCAAATATAATAAATATGTTACAGAAGTAGCTGATTATTAAAAAATCGTAAAAATACAGTAGTGATAACTGACGCATAATATTTATATACCTTCTTAATGGTACAATCAAAATTTAAAACTCATTTAAATGAAGATTAGGTTTTGAAATAAATTCCTTAGTGTGGTAAGTAAGTTATCAGATTTTTTTATTAAAGTTTGAACCGTAATTCCTTAATTTTTTATAAAATAATCCCATAAATTTTCATCATCAAATTTAGTGACTATTACTGTAAAAGACAATAAATCTGATTGCAAAATATTTGAAATTATCTTAAAATATTATCATGGTCATTGATTGGTATTGGTTCTTAAAAATTAAATAATAGTTACAATTAAACGTTAAAATTTTTAAATTTTTACATATACAGAGTTGAAAATAATATGAAAATATTAAAATAGGTACTTACAAAATAAAAATCACTTTAGACAGCCATAACAAGTACAAAATATGAAATAAAATTTTGCGGTTCAAAAATTAAGTCTTATCGATCTTTTTGTAAAAATTCAATTGGATAATATATAAAACAATAGTATGTGGAACTTCTAATTTGATATATCCAGAAATAGTATGGAAAGTAAGTAAAAGGAAATAAAAGATTAAATTTGTAATTTAACCAATTAATCTTGGTAACTGCATTTTTAATGCAAGATTTTCTAGTCTAAATTCTTTTTGAACACGCTCTTTACTCCCTGCAAGACAACAGACACAAAATTTTTGGTAGCCAATGAAAATCTATTATTTTCCTTGTTACTTTCGCCAGCAACAGATTGAATTTTCTTATCAACAATTTCGAATTGGTGCTTTTTCCCAACAACACTCCAAACAGCTGCAATGTTTTCGATAAACATGTTCACGGGTATCACGATTGCCAAACCGAAAACGCACAAAAGTAGTTGAAGCATACTTACTTTGCTCAAAGTCAGCGACTTTACAGCACCAAATATAAACATATAAATGTTAACAGCAGCTGTTAAAGCACTTACAAAGTCTATTATAGGTGGATAAGGAATAGGATAAAAGGAGGATAATATCATATTGCAAGTATACAATGGAGTAAAGAAGAAATTATAGAGAAGAACTGCCACGAAGAACTTCTTTGACCAAGGCAGTTTATCTGAATGTACCACTAAATATATACCCTGATACCACCTTTTACGTTGTCTTAAGAAGTCCCAAATACTGAATGGAGATTTCTCACACATTTCACCTTCTATAAAATTAAAAGTGTATCCTTCGTTAAAGGCCTTCAAAGCGAAATAACAGTCTTCTGCTATCGAACCGTTTACCCCATTGTCGTATGATACTCTCTTTTCTGCTGCGAACTAAAATGCAATAATTAAAAATATATTTCGTATAAATCACTTTAGATAATCGTACCTACACGTTTGACTCTAAAATTTCTAGAAGTAGGTTTGAATGAAAACGTAAACTTATAAGCTTACCTTCGCCACAACGAAAGATCCCTTCCAACTAAACAGAGGTTTATGGAACATTTTTAAAGTCAGCCTTAATTTTCCCAAATCGTCAGCAACTCTTGCGCTATCGGCAAGAGTGGTAACCCAATTGACTACAGGTTCGTTGGCGTAAGTTACTAATCCTTGTCCAAAATAATGTTTACCATCAGATACGAAATTTAAAATTCCTTGAATACAATCATTTGTTAGGAGCGTTTCTTCATCCAAATGAACTACCCAGTCATCATCTGATAAAACACTGACATCATCTTCTAGACAATACTGAAGAGCACGAGCTTTGTACATCGCTCCACTTTTAGTACGATAAGAATTTGGAACGACAACTTCGCGAAGTTTTAATTGCTTCTGGAGTCCAATAGCTTTGTCGCTAACCACCTCTATACAGAAATTTTCTAATCCTGTATCCAAACAAGTCTTCATATTTCTTTTTACATTAAGATGCACTAACTCTGGATAATCTCCTCGGGTCACCACTCTGAAGCAAATAAACGGAGCGATAGTTTTCGATCCCTTGAACGACACTTTCTTCGGAAATGCATTGTAAAATACTAATCCTGCGAAATTGCAAATGGCTTGTGGAACAGGCACAAACAGAATCGCCTTAAAGAAGTAGAGAATGATGGTCCAGGTAATTCCGTATGTAACCCAGGGATTAATATCTGGGTTGGCATTTCTCGCACTGTTGGCACTCAACTCGAACACTAGGATAAGTCCCAGTAGAAGGAGGCAGTGAGAACAGTGTTTCACGTAATTACTGATCATGGCGGTAACTCAACTTAGAAATTGGACTCCACTAAAACACCCTAATATTAATTTAAAAAGGCATTTTACGTACAGTTGTTGGACTAAAAATGTGAGTGCTCCAAATTCTGGCATTGCGCTCCTTTTAATCATTCGCAAATTCTTAATCATTGTAACAGTGAAGGACCCACTTAAAAGTTATCGAATTCATTGCAAGATGCCCTTGCTAGTTACTTGAGGAGGTGTCCACTATCGTTTCAATAAGCTCGGATCATTCAAATTAACTTTCTAATAATATATTCACAAAATATTAGCGTTAATAATAGTGTTTAAAAATCCGTAGATCAGAAAAAAAGTATTGATTCACAGTAAAAAATAATATTTATATACATTTAATTGAAGCAAATTAAAATTTAGCGAACTTAAATGTTAATCATGAGAAATATCGGTTTCAAACGGTTCGTTTGTGATAGTGTTAAATAAATATATACATATAAATCATTAGAAGAAAATAAGAATGGTGAATCAGCTGCAACTTNATTTTTCTCTGGCTATTGTTCGTAAATATATTTCAATTACACTTTCAAATAAGGGTATTTTTTAAATATATTTACTGATTTACTAAGACTATACTGATTCATAATCAGGTAGTTGATTAAGTTTTTTTACTAAGTTGTTCCTTGAAACGTCAGAAACTTATCCTTAAAAATGAAATTCGAATTTCTATGAAGAAGGTCAAAGAAGTTGACGAAATAACTTACAGGGACTTCCCGATATATCCATAGGATCGTGCGAAGAAGGCAAAGCTAGCTAAAAATCGTAAATATTGTAGTTTTGAACTGATTTCAAAACTACATTGTTATTCATTAGTTGATTATACTCTTTTCCGTTAAATATTTCATTACTGAGACTTTTAAATAGTACATTTCCTTTATAAAACATATTAAACATTAGCAGATGGGTTGAATTATAATTTCAGTCGCCTCAAAGTGAAGTGAAACAGTTTTACGTTACATAATAGTCCATATTGATCATGATTAAACTGATTGAATGATTATTGAGCGTTTAGGCCATGAAGCATATACGTAAAAACGACTCATTTAATGATTATATGAAGTTGTAATTCATGTGATTCTGCACACAAAAGAAATAACTTATAAGGTACTTATTATGGTTTGGTGTTTTAGACGAGAGGTAGTAAACTCGCGGCCTGCCTTGAATATTTTTCCAGTCCGCGAGATTCATCATAGTTTTACAAAATAGAATTATTATTTATAATGGCCAAAATAGCGAAAAGCAATGTATTAAAAAAAAAATACATTATTTATGCATCTATTAACTGTTAACTGACGAAATTATGTCAAAAAATTAACTTCGGTTTTAAAACAACATTCTTGTGAACATATACGACAAATATTGCCTATTTTACTAATAAATTTGCAGTAATGAGTTCAAAAAAGTCTGTAGTGGGTCTAAATCTAATGTGGAGATTTATAATTTTATATGTGATACGTGGAGTTATGATTTATTTCCAAAGTGACCTGCAAGATCATTTAGGTTGACCACCCCTGCTTTAAACGATCTCTTGAAAAATTATTTTCTATCTCAGCTTTTTTTCAAGACGACATAACAACAAAGAATGAT